TTTTTTTTCTCTCTCTTTTCTACGGATAATGCAACATCCTGATGCTTCCGTTCGCGGTACAGTAATTCACCGAAGTCTACAGTCAGAAGTAAAAACACTTAGAAGTATCGTTGAACTTCAACCTACGAACAAGAGACTCGTACACATTGATTGATACAAACTCGCAAACTTATAATTAGCCTTATGTTTTCACGCGAACTTGTACCAATGTACATCTCAATTCCTAAATAGTCATCTAAAGTGAAAATTTCGAACGCTTAACTTTCGCTTAACCCGTTGCAGTCGTTCGCAGGACGACTGAGCTTGTACACGTTGATCCACGGTTTTAAAAACTAGATGTTCGCGCGTATTTGTCGCTGAAACGTAACCGCTAGACTGTGGATATTTTTACGAATATTATAATTTATAAGAATTTTATATATTACAATTATAATATACGAATATTATAATTTATAAGAATTTTATATATTATAATATTTAATATATTATAATTATAATATACGAATATTATAATTTATAAGAATTTTATATATTATAATATTTAATAATTTTATATATTACAATATTTAATATATTATAATTATAATATATATTATATAATTTTATATAATATATAAATATATAATTTATATAATATTTTATATGTTATAATTTAAAAGAAATGAGGTCTGAGCAGAGATTCGTCGTTAGCGATTTTATATATTTTTGCAGATATTACACTTCTGTCTCACAAGTTTCCGGGCACCAAGCAAATTTGAATAAGTGGTGTGGCAATGATGTATGAATTATTTGAAAAATTTGTCATTATAGAACTGTTATATATTTTGTTGAATGATTCCAAACGTATTCTAGCTCGTTAACTAAATATTTTAGAGGATTGGAAACTAATAATGGCATTGAACCTCATCGTGAAGTTTTTATATTATCTTTCGGCTCATAAATACAGATACAGATACTCTGTGACATCTGTTTCTCTAACATATAACCATATATTTTTGATATTTCTTAATATGTTGCCAGAATTGTAGACAGGCAGCACATTGCCTTTTAATTATTATTATTAATTCAAGCATTCAATACACCATTTCTTCAACGTACGAACATCCCTATTTATGAACATAGTTGTAACAAGTGAAAATTCTAATATCTAAAAATCTAATACAAATTTAATATATTTTTAGTAAAAGAATAATTTAATAAATCATATATTACAATATTAGACAAAGCTAAAGATTATAGAATATGAAATTGAACAGCTATATGCAAGAGTAAAAATTGTTTTGAATTTTATACGTGATTAAACAGAAATCTAATCTATTTTCAACGAAAAATTATTGTTAATAAAATTTGTGTTGTAGTTTCTTTTACCATTGTGTTAATTTGACACCGAGGAATAAATTAAGTTGAAAATATGAAGTATGAGAGACAAAATAGTACATCCGATCTTAATTCGATTGAAAAATTACGAGACAAAATTTAATAAAAAATTTTAGAGAAACTCATTTGTCAGTTATTTGTTATTTCGTAACAAAGCAGATATGTTAATGAATCTAAGATTTCAATGCTTTTATATCACTTGACGATAGGAATCTCATTCTTTAAATATTTTCTACAATAACAAATTTCTTCGTTAATATCAATTTTATTAAACTAAGTAACAAATTCGTTTCTCTCTCAATATATATAATATGTTTTGAAAACGTCGCTCATGTCGCTCATATACAGATATGCCAGGTCAGAAAAGCAAATTGTCTTTTATTTATTTGTTTTAATGATTTGAAAAATATTTTGAAAAATTTGCTTACATCAACAATTAGCGTAGATGAATCATAATTACAATTAAACAATCGTTGTCAATATTCAATAAAAAAAAATTGCTACAATAAATCATGATAAGTGAAAAATTATTTGCTTCTCTGTTCTTTTCGGAACGCGACTAAAAGACACACGCAAGGACAAAAGTTTTGAAATGATCGGGCAAAAGGGATACCTAATTTATTTGCAACGAATAATAGACATAAAGAAAAAAATATATATATATATATATGCAATATACATCATATTAAATATAAAGGTAACAATCGTTGATATCCAAACAATATCCAAAAAAAAAAAAAAAAAATGAAAAAAAATGCGAATGAACTTATTACACAATTTTAAATATTAAAAAATAACTGATACATTTGAATCTGCCATAATACACTTTTGCCCGTAAATTTATGAAACGGAAATGTACATGTATGCGTTGTGAACATTTTCAAAAGTTCATTCAAGCCCTTCACAAACGTAACATATAAATATCCATAGTCTAGAAACTATCGAACTGCAAGGAGTTAATTATCGCCTAATCGTACTACAATCGTACGCGATTTCAAAAAGACTTTCATTTTGGCTGGAGGTCTCGCGTGTCCCCTCTTAACTTACGACATAGAAGAATGAGCATCTCTTAAAACACACACCAAAAAAAAAAAAAAAAAAAGAAACAAAAATCCTTCTCGAAGAAAAGATTCATCCATTACAATCGGAGTACTGTACGGATGTTGCATACGTGATTGATCGACGATAGATTTTCGCCTCGCGTAGAACAAACGTGTACAATCCTCCTCTATGCGACGCGGAAATATCCCACGCCTAAGGAGCCTATAAGATCGGTAAATTACACGTTAAAGTTAACAGTAAGAAAAAACGTCTACTTAAGAACCATGTACATAGAGTATTTTGCGGCGACGATCTTGCACGAGGAAGCTAACTTCCCTACCATCTCGCCCTCCAAACTGAGAGACGAAGTTAGCTTCAGGAAAATTCGTTTTACATCTTACGAACGATCCGGCAAGATTGTGGACGAGTGGACCGTGGACGTCGAGCCTGTTCGAAATCCAGTTTGAAATCCACGGTCCACGGTTTTTTCTCCTTTTTTCTCCTTTTCGTTTCTAAAGAGTGTCGTTTGGCATTTAAATATGGCGTTGTTAGGTGCTCGAGATTCGCGAGAGATCATCGCGGTAATATTTCATTGCGAAGAGACTCTGTGCGATCGATGTACAGATGGCTCTTGTTAGCTGGCCTGGAAACGTTAGTGCGACTTATGAGGCAAATTGTCGCGTAATCGAAAAAAAACCAGCAACTTTACGATGCAACGTTCTCAGTTTATTATTCGTTTATCCAGAGTACGTTGCGACTCGAAAATTCGTGACAATAAATTTCTTTTTGTACGAACGCGGGATTCGTACAGGAATGGCAGTGTCTCGTTCAAGGTGAGCAGAACCATTAAATATATAAGCTCCCGAGGTTGACAGAACACAGTTCGGAAATTGCCGGAGTGCAACAATTGCAGACTGCAGACTTTTATTCTTTTGGGGAAAATTCTAAAGTGCAAAATTGCGCGGTGTGTGCATATATATATATATATATATATATATATATATATATATATAATAATAATATATTTATTTATATTATATATTTTATATATTAATATAATTATTTAATAATAATAATAATAATGTACATATAATATATATATATGTATTTATAATATTATATATATATATAATTTATAATAATATAATATTATTATAATAAAATTATATTTATATATATATATAAA